TGATATTATAGTATTGACATCTTTTAATACTTGTGCTAGCTGTTTCTTTGGAACAAGCTTCAATGCTGGCAACTTTATTCTGTTGCTTTTGTGCTGTATTATATGCTCAAAGATTTTTTGTTTCATTTCTTCTACTTTTTTAGTTAGGGAACTTTGTTCTTTCTGATGAAAAGGCAGACAAGAAGGTGCCTGGTTTGAGAATGAAAAAAATTCAATAGCTAGGCTGCTACTTACTATTTATGCCTTGCCTCCAATGGTGGTATTCTACCGGTTCAAACTGATTCTGCCAAGCCGGTAGCGGCGATCAGCAGTGGAGAATGAACTGGTTCTGTCCGACACTCTGTGTTGGGCACACCTGCCCTCCCATACTAACCCTTATGTCCTGCTTTTTTGAAAGTAGTGTAATCCCGGGTTACATTTCTTCATACAGACACAAATTCGACTTCATGCTCATTTTTATATTCTATTCCATATCTTATTACTGTTTTACATTTTCAGCATAACTTCTCCCCTCTTTTAATTTTCTCAATTTTATTTTAATTATCTCATCTCAATTCAAGTCATTATATTTATATTTTTTGTCTGTCCTGTTTCAATTATCTATTATCTTTTCTCATTAAACAAAATTTCTCCTGTAATAACTGATTGGAGTATGACGCCTTTATATCTTTTAAGTTTATCCATTTAACTCTTATTTAGGCTTCAATATATACCCTAAAGTTTTAACATTCAATATAATACATAACTTCCATTCGGATTCTGCTTGGTACATTCTTAAAATACACACGGGGTAAAAAGGGGGGAGAAAAGAAGAGAGGGAAGAAGGAAAGGAAAAGAAGTTACAAAGGACAGGAACAAGTTATAGAGAAACAGGACCTATTTAGAGATAATGGGTGAAAATTTAACTGAAAAAGGGATTCTGTAAAGGTACATAAGATTGTATTGTTATATTAGTAATAGAATTAACTTTAGAAAATTGGAAACAATGTATGATTAAAATGAGGGATCAAATAGTTAGTGTAATTTAGATTCTTTTTAATTCCAGGCAGTCTCCTCCCTCTTTCAGATCCTGCCCTTATTCTTTTTCTCTCCCTCCTGCTTATGAAAAAAAAAATTAGTGTCCAGAAATCTTTATTATCCCTTTGACATTTTGTTTTATTTTCAGCTTAATTGCCCATTGATGTCAAAGTGGATTTTTCCGATTTCTTATTTAAGTCTCTTAGTTGTCAGTATAGGGAAGGGAAGAGAAGGAAAAAAACCCCAAACCTTTCTCTTTTCACTTTCCTTCGCTGCTTCCGACTCTTCTTTGGGAGCGATGTTATTTTTTTGTAAGTTTAAATTCCAGGGTACCTTAGTTGTTGCTTTTACAATTTAACCCGGTCAGCCAAAACTTTCTCTTCTTATCTTCCTCCTGCACATTCTTTTCCGGTCGAGTTCTTCTTTGTGGTGGCCATTTCTGACCACTGCTGCAACCGCCTTCAGGAAAGGGAGTAATGGCCAGCTGAGGAGGAGAGATGCGGCTCTCCTCAACCCTGCTGGCAGTCTCCCCCCTCTTCACCACCTCTACGGGGTGGCTTAGCCCCGAAACCAGCCAGCTCGGGGCGCTCTAGCGGCGAGCCCAGACTGAAACCGCGCACGATCGCGAATTTCTGTCTGTCACCGAAGAGACTTCAAACCGGAAGCCCCTTATGTCCTGCTTTTGAAGCGCAACTGCTTTGCATGGCACAGCAATTGCCGCGTGACAGCTGCTGAAGTGTCAGGGGGTGTGCAGGATTGCAGGAGGTCACTCAAAACACCTCTGCATTTGCACAAAGTGCATGTTTGGCGCGCAAAGTATGTGTGTGCATGTAAAGCGCACCCATCAAGCCACACCCACTGAACCAGTGGTAAAAATATTTGAAACACACCACTGCTTGCCTCTACAGTCTGAATTATTTCTGGCAAGATTTTGATTTCTTTGCTTTGGATGGACCTTTGAATTCTGCTGCCATGAATACTTTATTTCACATTATAAATTAACAGGAGATGATTACAAAAACTGATTATGAACAACATAACACAATCACCAAAATGATTCACTGGAATGCCTGTTAAAAAATTATCATGTGCCAATAATGAAAAATCAGTGGGAATATAGAGTTGAAGAAGTAGTCGAAAATAAGGAGTTAAAATATTGTGAGATTTCCAAATACAGACTGATAAAGTCTTGGCTCATAACACACCCAATTTAACTGTGGTTGAATTAAAATCTAACTAATTAATTCTATTATTGTATTCTCAGCAAATCTAAGATGATTTATTTTAAAATAAATTATTTGTGAGATAAAAATTAATCTTTTCAAGTAACTGTCATGATTGCAACCAGAAATGCAAGCTTCATAGAGAGTAGGCACAATAGCCAATAGGCTGAAGCAGCCTCAAGAAGAATTAAATTAATACCACAGAGAAGCTATACTAAAGGTTAACTGAGCCTGATTGAAACAAACTGAATGAATGAATTTGCCCACTATAGTATATTTTAAAGCTAGATGTGAAAAAAGAAGTTCCTGAATAGAAACATGAAAGGAAGAAATAGCTGTCAAATAAACCTTTAAGGAAGACAATCAGAGTACTTCACACACACCCCAAATCAGCAGGAATAAGAGGACCCCAGAGTAGAGAATAGATACTCAGGTTCAAAATTTGGAAGAAGTTATTAAAAAAATTTCCACTTAGAATATGAACATAATGTTAACAGCTTCTGGATGGATAAAGTACCTCCTGAACTATTAGAATAATCTTTATCAAACTCCTCAGGTGATCAGTAGGAACGTGTCTATCTCCAGATGCAATAGACTGAGACAGCAGATCTACTGTTGTTATTGTGACAAGCAGTGAAACCATCCAATAAAGAAATGAATTAAATTTATGAACTGTAGCTGCAACAGCGCCAAATAAGTGCAAGATATTATTAGAAGAATTGTTCCAATAAAATAAATTGGTGGGAAGAAACAGAACAGTACAGGTAGTGTATGACAATTTCAGATTATCATGGCACTGAACAAATGAAGATTACAATCAGTTCTCAGAGTTCTATTCATCCCAGCATCACCATGGGCAGGTAATCACGATCTGGATGCTTGGCAACTGGTTTGCACTTATGATTGACTGCAGTGCCCAGTGTCACATGATCGCTATTTGCAACCTTCCTGCCCGCTTCTCCAGAAAATCAATGGGAAATCTAGTAAGGAAGATTATAAGTTGCTGAGTAAGTCACTACCATCTACATATTTTCCTCCATCTCATTGTGTTTCCACTTTGCCAGTCATTCATGCACCCCCATGCATCCTCCCCGACCCATATTGCACTTTCAAGAACTCTCTGACCCATGCCACTTTTCTCATGCACCATCACATACCCTCCTCATATGGTTCCTATTGTGCAACTCCTCAGAAACCCTTACCACACTTCTCTCCTGCCTATTTGACAGCAGCTATTTACATGCTTGCCAGCCTGGGACTTTCAACTTCCTGCCAGCTTCTCCACTGACTTGTGGGAAGCCAACAGGAAGTTGCCTCACCTAACAACCATGATATTCAGCTATTAATGGCAACTGGAACTGCAAGGATTGCCATCACTATGAAAACATCGCTTGGTGATAGAAATTCCAGTCCCTATTGCTATTTTAACTCAAGGACTAACTGTATCCATAACCACCTGCAAAAAAATGAATAATCATGCAACCCTAAATACATTACTGATCAACTGCCATATTGTTGACTATTTCTATAGACTGAAGAAGTCTGAGAAGTTTCCATCAAGAGAAAGTACATCAAAATTTCTATATCTTCTGATCAATTAGTTATGTGCGCAAATCAATTACTAGATTCAATGTATTGGCCAAAGTATTAGGAGCTAATCTAACAGAGATATTATCAGGAAATCTTAAAACTGATTTAGCCAGCTTCTCTGGAGAATGGAGCTGACTGACAGACTCAAACTGTCTTGGAGGAAGCTCAGAATTATACTAGTCTAATAGGAGCTTCAGGGAGTCCCATTTAAAAAATGAGTTGTCAGTTATACTGGGATACTGGAAAGTCTAAGAAAGTCCTAATATTTACAAGGAGCTTTGCATATGTATATTCAAGTTAAGAAAGTGTGACTAAAGTATGACTGTACATGCACTGAAGGCACAAATTGTTATTGCTGTTGCTGTTTTTTATTTTGGTCAACTCAAGACAGCAAACATATCTAATACACTTTCCTTTTCTTTCTCTTCCTGAGAAACACCTAGAAGTTGGATACAATACATTCTTAACATGAACCAGTTATTTCACAAGTATTCTGGAAAGAAAAATACTGTTCTTCAGATTACAGTCAGATCTTGTTTCCCTATTGTGTGTCCTGAATATCAACAATGACCCACCTGCCTTCCCTAGCTTGTGTCATAAATGGAACTCTGTGTGAAGTTATTTGGATTGGAATCATTTCTAAAATTGAACAAATCTATTAACCTGACAGCACTGTGTTTACAGTTAAGCACTTGATATTTTCATTAAAAACTGTACTTTTATTTAACAACAACATATCATTTAAATCAGTAATTCATGCTATATTGAAAAAAACTCATATTGCATTTAAAAACTATCAAATTAATGAAATGTATAAGCAATATAAGAATGTATATTTCAAAATAGAAGTTTGTTATTTTCACATTTAGATATGCCAAAAAAAAATCCCAATGAAGAACAACTTTAAGTTTATAATTAAGGCAATCATCAATCCAAGGATTATAGCCAATTTTATTTCATCTCCACATCAAAAAAATTTAAAAAATTAAAATCTCTTGAAACATAAGATAAATGAAAATGTAAGCGCTTCACACATAATAACAGTAAGCTGACCCTCTGGGAAATAGTTGACTTTCTCAATTCAAGCGATTCAAAGCTCATTCAGAACTGTTCATTTAGAATGCAGATATCAAAGATGATGCAAATATTCAAGAGGAAATTAGAACTTACCAGATGTTCTAATCCAGTTTTGATGTTTCCGGCATCTCTGAAATAGAAGAACAAAAATTCTAAACAATTATTAATCATTGGTATACAATTATTTATGTTGAACTTCAAAAGCTATAATGATCTGTCCTTTTGTTTAGTTTGTTTTAATGTCTGAAGCTATATTATTGAATAAAACTTAAATGCATCCTCTAGTATAATTCCAAAATGTCTTTACCATAAAATCTAAAACATAATACAAATATATAACAGAATAAGTGAATGCATATGATTGCTGATAGTTGGTAAATTTTAAATCCCTTTATTAGAACCAGAATTTATGTACCATTTATAAAAAGAAATGTTTTCAATTATTCTCCCATGAATAAGAAAATTGTTTCTCTGTAAAACTGTATGATCTTAACATCTAAATAAAGTTGACTGATAGCACATGATTTAAAAATTCAGCTGATTCGTCTAATTTCAGAGTGATGTGTGTTTAGGAGAATCAATATATAGTACATAACCAACAAAAATAAAAAATTGAGTTGGGTCAATTCGTTCAATATTCTTTGATCAATTCTATTAAGAAAGAAGGCGACTTAGTTTTTGTATCAGTAGATCCAACATAAATCATTGATAACTTGTTATAGCTATAGCTGTGTGAAAAAGTCCTGCACACTTTCAGTTTTAAGCTGTATTTACACGTTTAATCTATTTTTCACTCATAGAAACCACACAAAATTAGTACTTTGATGCAAATTTCTGTAGTCGGATTGAGATGCATAATTTTTATGAATATAACCAAAGTCTTTTTAAGGTTTTAAGTGAGTTTACGTGCTAAAACAAACACAACTTGAATTTTCAAGAATGTTAGGATCGAAAGTAGCCAATCAGCAGTGAGTGCTGACTGACCAATCAAAATGCACAGAGGCTAAATCTATGAGCCAATCAATGTTGTCATACTGACTATAAATAGGCATGAAAAGCATTGAGAAATTTAATTTAGCTCTGGCTGTGGGCAAGGATGAAGGCTTTTGCTTTCACCAGTACTAAGCAGCAGCATCACATCATTGTGCTTCATGAAGAGGGTTACTCCTGTACAGAAATAGCCAAGAGAGTGAAATGCCATTACACCACAGTGAGCAGAGTGGTTGAAAAATACCAAATAACTGGTTCAGTTGATGACAGACTCCGCTCTGGAAGACCAAGAAAGTCAACAAAACGGCAAGATCGGGGTCTGCAAACACATTTTGATGGCTGACAGAAAGCTCACCTCACCTCAGATTACAAGAATTTGGGGTAAAACATGTGATGTAAAAATGTGCAAAAGCACAGTGCATCGCAGACTGCTTGCCAGAGGGCTCAAAGGCTGCAGGGCTTGAAGTAAACCTTTGCTCACAGACGCTCACCACTCTCATCGACGTGCATGGGCCAAAAAGTATGCCAAGTGGACCAACGAACAGTGGGCCAAGGTCATCTTCAGTGATGAGAGCAATTTCTACTTGACTGGGAATCAGTGCAATAAGTATGTCAGAAGATTTCCAGCTGAAGAATTTAGGCCATACTGCCTGAATCTATCTGTGAAGCATTCATTGCACGTGATGATCTGGGGCTGTATCGCTGCTTCTAGTATTGGTCGGATATAAATCGTCCAGGGAATCATAAATTCCAAGCAGTATGTTAAGTCCTGAAAAAGACCATGCTTCCTTCAGCTCAGCAACCTGTAGGGAAAGACTTACTTCCAGGATGACACTTCCTTGTCATCAAGCCAAGTCCATCCAGCAGTGGTGTTTGACTCCTGGATTGGCCACCGCAGAGCCCGGATTTGGACCCAATTGAGAATTTGTGGGCCAAGATTGGTTACGAAATAAGCAAGAAGCATCTAAAGACCAAGCAGGAGCTGATTGAATCCATTATTGCAGCCTGGCACCACATTGTCACCAAAGATCACGTGCAAAGACTTATACAGTCTGTGCTGAAGCGATGCCGCCTGATGATAAGCAATAAGGGCTGGCCAATTTCATATTAGTAACCATGTTTGGTTACCTAAACGGACCTTTTCAGGGCCACAAACAATAAAAATGTTAACAAAACACTAGCATTGGCCTTAGTAATTACAACACATATGCCACTGGGTATGCATCAGTTAATCTGTTTTCATAGTCATTGTAAGCATGCATTGTAAGTATGCAAGAAAATCCCCATCCAAACAGCACCAAATTGCAAAAAGCTTATGCTTTTCACTTAAAAACCATGAGTGTTTATTTAAATATAACAATATTTGCATAGCAGTTATCATAAAATATCAAAAAATAAATAAATGACCTATCCAAAAAAATGTCATAAACCATAAACCGTAAACCGTGCAGGACTTTTTCACACAGCTGTAACTTGCTCCAATGTTTTATATCTATCTCTAACCATCCTGCTAAACAGCATTCTCTTCAGGATCATAACGTTTGTAAATAAATCTATAACACAGAACTCATACTGCCAGGAAACCTTGCTTTTTATCTTAAGCAAAAATTCATTTGCATTTTTGGCAATAAAAAATAAACATGATAAACCAGTACTTTTATTTCTCTATCATCACACGCATTAAACATTTTACCCATTCAATTAAGCCAGGCACCAAATTACTTTAGAATTTAATTTTAAGAATTTAAAATTATTTTCCATGCAATGAAAATAGACATAAACCATCTTTTTATTTCTTATTTTTTTAATTGGTTTGTGATTTTTCAAAGAGAATATTATCAGAATGCAACTTTTCTATATTATTTCCTTACTATTCAGATTTTAAAAAAATATGAATTACATTCTTCTTTGCATTTTTCTATTATAAATGAACTATAATCTACGTTATTTAATATAAGCCTTACTTAAAGATGCATTGCAAAATAAAGGAAATTCAGAAATTACATATTGGTTTGACCTTAGTTCAGGAAAGAATGCTGGCTCAAAAAAAGTGAAGTATTTTTTTCTCTTTTCAACATGTGTTTTTGTAGAATTGTGAAATAATAAAACAAGACTATGCACAAAACATATCCTACTTTTAATCAAAACGATATTCTATAAATTAGAGACTTATTTTCCTGAATTAGAAATCAAGACTACTAACCAGCTGCCTGAAGGCATTAACAGGGGTGAAGGGAAGAAAGAGGACAATGTGATAAAACACACAGTGTGATATTGTAATACAAACTATGCTCCTTTCATACTTGTGTATGATATTAAACCTAGTACTGATGATGTTATCTAGTTGGGTAATGAAACATCCACAAGAAAACAACCAAGTTTAGTTAGCACCAAGGACCCCTCATTTCAACCTTGATTACAAATATTCTCTTCTATTAGTACCAATCAGCTGTGTAAGAACCAGCTCAACCAAGGTAAAGAGAAAGCTCTCCAAAGAAACTTTCCTAACACTTTTAATAATCTTTTTCAAAATTTTACGAAAGTTATCATTAAATTTTTGATGTTAAAAATCATTAGATCAGTTTTAAAACTACATTACATGAAAATATATTTAAATATATTAAAATGTCTAAACTGCAATTATTTTAATGTGGTTTACAATATTGTATTTCTTATTTTTATTGTGATCTATCTAGAGAATTACATGGCCAATATAAATACACTACTGAATCAATAACTGACCTAAGGTGACTTAACAGATGCTCAACTAATTTAAAAGATCTCTGTCTCCAAGTGATAATCTGGTCTACCCATGTATCAAGTAAATAAGTTTTGGATATTGTCAAAGGACAATTCTGAGTAAAAGCTATAAAAATGAAGAATTTCTATGTAAAAGTTGTATTAGAGTAGGAAGAATTTCCAGAGATAGCATTGAAATGTTTATTTTACTTTGCTTGTAAAATGATGAGCAACTAGGTTTTGACAGAGTATTCAGGGATTTATAGCTGTAGTAAATTATCATAACAAAATTCTTGCATCTGACTATTTTCAATGTTCCCATTACTAACAGCAATTATAAAACTAATTATATACAGCATCTGTAAATATTAATTGCTCAAATCATTGAATGCATTTTGAAAATCTATTTTCAACCATTTCCATATATTTTTATTCATATTTTTAGATTTAAAATGTGCTACAAACATCTGTTACTGTTATGTTTTTTAAAAAAAACCTGCATAGAAAAAATTAGTCTCATGAAACATGTAGAATAATAATCAAAATTTGCTATACCGCATCATACATTATTAACAGAAAACTGAAGTCCTCTATTTATATTGGAGCTGAAGGTCATAATGAACTTAATTGCTAGGAAGCAGAACCCAGGTCACTGACACACAAAGCTTCTTGCTAATGGTATCAAATTTGTTCTCTTTAGTGGTCTGTCTCCTATGCTGTGCTTGTCACAACTTCATCAATATTTGCACAACTGTTTTTGCTCTGTGCTGAAAGCAGACTTAATTCAATTATAGATCTTAAAACTGATAAAATGGTCCTGAAGTGGAAATGGGAAAGATATTATTGGCAAATGAATAAAGATCTGTATTGAACTAACACACGAGAGTATAGAAGATTTAAAAAAAAAATCATTCCTTGTCTTAAGTCTTCTGGGAACAGTGAGTTTTTCTTTCCCTCATGCAGCACATTGATTTCTGAATTAGACTGCAATATTAAATAATTAATATACTTGCCATGATTGATGTTTTGCATTAGTTGAATATTAGGTTATCAATCAAAATCCACTTGGTTTAATGTAATAATATTGAAAAAGTGTCAGTGTCTGTTCATCCAATTTGTAGTTGAAGGAGCACAGATAGTAATATTGGAATAACAGAAGGTTCTGAAGCAGGAAGTGCTCTAGCTAAACATACTGTATATAAGGCAAAGATTAGGAAACTAGTAGTGACTTTGGACCAGTTATTCTGTGTGAGCCTAACTCACCTCAAAGGGTTGTTGTTGTGGGGATTACGCCAAGGAAAGAGTATTGTTTGTCATTTTGGGTTTTTTTATAAAAAATAATAAAGGCAGGATTAAAAATGTAAAAAAATTGTAAATCTAACTACTTTATGGCATTCATGA